ATTTCCCAAAATAGGCTCCATGATAGACTACGTCTATAAAATGTGAATAGATATGATATAAAAAGGGGTTCTGGGCCGGGCACAGTGGCTCACGCCTGTAATGCCAGCACTTGGGGAGGCCGAGGCAGGCAAATTGCCTGAGCTCAAGAGTTCGTGACCAGCTGGGCAACAAGATGAAACCCCGTTTCTACTAAAGTATGAAAAATCAGCCAGGCATGGGCGCCTATAGTCCCAGCTACTCAGGAGGCTGAGGCAGGAGAAATGATTGAGCCTGGGAGGTGGAGGTTGCAGTGAGCCGAGATTGTGCCACTGCATTCCAGCTTGGTTGACAGAGCGAGACTCCATCTCTACAGAAAAAGGGGGGTGGGGTTCTGGCCAGGTTCAGTAGCTCACGCCTGTAATCCCAGCACTTTGGGAGGCCAAGGCCAGGGGCTCACCCAAGGTCAGGAATTAGAGATCAGCCTGCCCAACATGGTGAAACCCCACCTCTACTAAAAATACAGAAATTAGCCAGGCGTGGTGGCACACACCTGTAGTCCCAGCTACTCGAGAGGCTGAGGCAGGAGAATTGCTTAAACCGAGGAGGTGGAGGTTGCAGTGAGCTGAGATCTCACCACTACACTTCAGACTCAGTGACAGAGGGAGACTCCATCTCAAAAAATTTTAAAAATTAAAAAATTAAAATAAATAGAAAAGGGGTTCTGAGATCCAGGAAAATTAGGAAACCCTAAATTAACAAAGCCAAAGTCTTTTTACTAAACAACTTCTCACTCTTCAGTGTGTTTATGTGTTCTGTAAATCTCCAAGAGCAAGCTTTGACACAGCGTTTTGCAACTGTTTGTTCATTATAGGCCATCTCTCCCCCAGGAGTCTTTTTAGACAATTTTACTAATCACCCTTTCCTTCCTTCTCACTCTCCCCCAAAATTAAATATTAAGGAATAGATTTTACTGGGGGGCCACAAACCATTGTACTAAGATTTTTTGCCCCTTAAGAACCATTTCACCCCTTTGAGGATGATATCACCTCAGTTGAGAAGCATGACCTAGTGTGAAATGCTTCTTGTATTAGTCTGCTCTCACATTGCTCTAAAGAAATACCTGAGGCCAGGTGCAGTGGCTCACGCCTATAATCCCAGCACTTTAGGAGTTCAGGTGGGCAGATCACCTGAGGTCAGGAGTTTGAGACCAGCCTGACCAACATGGTGAAACCCTGTCTCTACTAAAAATACAAAAATGAGCTTGGTGTCATGGTGAGCACCTGTAATCCAAGCTCCTCAGGAGGCTGAGCAGGAGAATCACTTGAACCTGGGAGGCAGAGGTTGCAGTGAGCTGAGATTACAGCATTGCACTCCAGCCTGGGTGACGTGAGTGAGACTCCGTCAAGAAAGAAAGAGAAAAGGAAAGAAGAGGAAGGATGGAAGGAAGAGAAAGAAAGGAAGAAAGAAAGAGAGAAAGAAAGAAAGAAAAAAGAAAGAAAAAAAAAGAAAGGGGAGGGAGAGGAGGGGAGGGAAGAAAATACCTGAGACTGGGTAATTTATAAAGAAAAGAAGTTTAATTGGCTCATGGTTCCATAGGCCATACAGGAAGCAGGGCAGCATCTGCTTTTTGCAGAGGCCTCAGGAAACTTACAGTTATGGTGGAAGGCAAAGGGGAAGCAGAAACATCTTAGATGGCCAGAGCAGGAGGAAGAAAAGAGAGTGGGGAGGTGCTACACACTTGAACAACCAAATCTCACAGTAACTCACTCACTATCACTAGAACAGCACCGAGGGGATGGAGCTAACTCATTCACGAGAACTCCGCCCCCATGATCCAGTCACGTACCACCAGGCCCCACATCCAACATAGGAATTACAATTCAACATGAGATTTGGTGGGAACATAGATCCAAAGTACATCACTTCTCAAACTCATTTGGCCACAGACTTTTTTCAATTGGACCAGTGTTCCCAGGAACATACTATGGGAAGCCCTAATTTAGTTAGAATGGGGCATTTTAACATTTCATCGGTCTCTTCTGACTCACAGGCAGAGACTTCTCTTTAATACTTAAATTCCTGGTAGAAGACTATCATAAGGAGAGGAGTTTTATAAAAGGCTTGTTGATTGAGAAAACTTGTATCTGCCACTGTTCTCCCCTCTGGCCATCATTCCCAGTTTGGGATGAGAATTTTATACTAGTCAACTTTTTAAAAATTATGGTATAATATACATAAAGTGTATAATGTGCTCTAATCTTAAAAGTACAGCTTGATAAATTTTCATGGGTGAATACTGAAGGCAACCAGATTCTGTCACATCAAAATACGCCTTTTTGACTGTTTTTTGTTTTTTGTTTTGTGTGTGTGTGTGTGTGGTTTTTTTTTTTTTAGCTAAAGGCAATTAAGAAGCAGATGTAGGGAGGCTCTGCCTTCTTTTTGTTTGACTAAAAGCAGGACAGAGAATTACAAAGACAAAAGTTCTTTCTCTCCACCCACTCTGCTTTCCCACCTAAAGACAGGATGTAAATTCTTCTTTACAGCCTTTATCAGCTTAGAGACAGTGCCAGAGTAATCGGAGCAGACTTTACTCCGTTAGTTTCCCCATAAATTTACCTTCCTCCATTTTCCTACCTCTAGGAGCTTGGGACTGCTTTTCCTTTGTCTTGTTATGTTTCTAAAACGTATCGTGCTATGTTAGCCATACTATATAAGCCAGACTCTTAAGCTACTGCTTAGAGTTACTTTTCTCCCACATTTTGTATACTGCGTGTGTTATTAAACTTGCTTTTCTCTTGTTAATCTGTCTTTTATTGCAGGAGTCTGTCCCAACTATAAACTTATGAGGGCTGAGGGAATACTATTTTTTATTCCTGTCAATACACACCCAGTTCAGGATATAAGCACTGAATTATTGATCAGAAAACCTGATCAAAATGAATCATTACGGCTCACCCGGTACCTGCTGCCATGCACCTGGGAGGGATGCTGAGCTGTGGGCTGACACACATGGCCATCATGCCCCTGGACCTGGTCAAGTGCCACATGCAAGTGGATCAGAAAACCTTAAAAAAAAAAAGAATCCTTGCCTTCCCATCATCCACATACTGTAGTATGTAGTTTTCAAACTTTAGTGAAGTTTAGTGAAGAATCCACCTGAGTCTATTAAAATCACTTATTTCTACTCACAGAGATTCTCATTCAGACAGTCTAGAGTGTGAGCTAAGATTTTTAATAAAGCACTCCAGGTGATTCTGATGCAGGTGGTTTGTGAATCACGCCTGTGAGAAACAGAGGCCTGCCCTACAGGATAAAAGTCAAAGTCCCGAATAAGACATTAAGGCCTTTCCTAATTCAATCCAATTTTATTTTTCTAGGCTCAACCCTCGCTGATTTCTATCACACTGAATTACTCGCCTCTCCTCAGTAGGAAATGCACTCCGTTTGTTTCCTTTAACCTGAAATTGCCTTTCTATTCTTTTTTATGTGGCAAACTCCTACTTACCCTTCAGGACTCAGCTCCACTGTCACTTCTTCAGGGAAATCTTCTGAACCTCATCAGGCAAAATTAGTTGCTCCTTCACTGTTCATCTAGAACTTTATTCAAATTCTGTTATAGGCTGGGCATGGTGGCTCATGCCGGTAATCCTAGCACTTTGGGAGGCTGAAGCAGGCGGATAGCTTCAGGTCAGGAGTTTGAGACCACACTGACCGACATGGTGAAACCCCATCTCTACTAAAAGCACAAAAATTAGCGGGGTGGGGTGGCACATGCCTGTAATCCCAGCTACTCTGGAGGCTAAGGCAGGAGAATCAGTTGAACACAGGAGGCAGAGGTTTCAGAGAGCCAAGATCACGCCACTGCACTCCAGCCTGGATGGCAGAGTGAGATTCTGTCTCAAAAAAAACAAACAAAAAGCAAATTGTTATAGTACTTAGCAAAATACTGATTTTTTTTTTCCTTTAAAAAAATCTTGTTTAGAAGCAAGCAGGAATGTGTCTGGTTCTTTGCTGAACCCCAGCCCTGCGCAGTGCTCAGCACAGAGTGGGTAAAGGAATGGATGATGTATGCCACTGATTTATACCTGGAGTCATTTAGTTCTCATTTTTCAGGCCAATGAAACTGCAAGCTTCCCAAAAGAACAGGGCTTTTGACTCATTTTCGTATTCTCCAAAATCAGTAGTCAATGAAAAGAAAATACCTGGCAGGTGAAAATAATCAGCACACCCCCCTCCTAAAGTCAGCGAGTGCTCCATGCTTCCTAGGCTCCCGCTACAACCGTCGTTGGGAGACAGGAGTCGTGTGTGAGCTGGAGGAAACTGTCACCTACCTGCTAGGTGAGAACGTTACGTAAGGCGGGAAGCCACGGGCTGTCTCTGCGCATTCGCACCGTGGAACGCCGCTGTCATGGAGATGACCATTCCCCCAAACCGGCATCGTTGAGTAAGGACTTGAGAAAGGCCTCTCAGGAAGGCAACAGTGCATGGCGACTCTTCACCCCCTCGCCTACCTCCTCATCTACCTACTCGCCTATTCCTGCGTTTACTCGTGTCTGTACTTGTTGGTTTATTTTCTTCGCATTTTTGTGGAGGACTAGGCAGCTGAGCTGGACCAAAGTCACCAGGGTAGTGAAGACCCGGCCCACCACCCAAGGTGAGATCTGGGACCACTGAACACTGGCCAGGTGCGGCGGGCACGGGCGCCTGCAGCTACCAGGAGCCCATTGGGCTGAAAGGGCAAAGGGGCGGGACGTGCTGGAGGCGGGGGAAGGGGCGGGGAAGGGGCGGGGCAACACCGCCTACTTAAACCGTTGGGTCCCGCAGCGCACTGCGCAGGTGCAGGCCGAAGCGCTGTGGGCCGGCTGGGCTGCTCTCGCCTGGACCGTTGGGTGGGCGGGCTCCAGGGGGAGGTTCAGGGCAGGGTGCGCCTGCACCCAGCGCAGCCATGGGTGACCCTGGCGGCCGCCGTGCGCTGCAGGCAAGAAGCGTGGGCCGAGGCGGCTGCAGGCCGTGGGCTGCGGCCGTGGAGGAGGCCAGCGTGGAGTACGGCTCCTCCCGGTACCTGCTGCTGTGCGGCTTGGGCGGGATGTTGAGCTGCGGGCTGACGCACACGGCCATCGTGCCCCTGGACCTGGTCAAGTGCCGCATGCAGGTGGACCCCGGCCGGTACAAGGGCATCCTGAGCGGCTTCGGCGTGACACTGCGCGACGACGGGCTGCGCGGCCTGGCCCGCGGCTGGGCCCCGACCTTCTTCGGCTACTCTCTGCAGGGCTTCTTCAAGTTCGGCCTTTATGAAGTCTTCAAGATCCGCTACGCGGAGCTTCTGGGCCCAGAGAAGGCCTACGCATGGAGAACCGGCCTGTACCTGGTTGCCTCGGCCAGCGCCGAGTTCTTCGCCGACATCGCGCTGGCGCCCATGGAGGCAGTCAAGGTCCGCGTGCAGACGCAGCCAGGCTACGCCAGCACCCTGCGGGCCGCGGCGCCCAGGATGTACGGCGAGGAGGGCCTGTGGGCCTTCTACAAGGGCGTGGCGCCGCTGTGGCTGCGGCAGATCCCCTACACCATGATGAAGTTCGCCTGCTTCGAGCGCACGGTGGAGGCGCTCTACAAATATGCGGTGCCCAAGCCCCAGAGCCAGTGCACCAAGGCCGAGCAGCTGGGCGTCACCTTCGTGGCCGGTTACATCGCCGGCGTCTTCTGCGCCGTCGTGTCCCATCCCGCTGACTCGGTGGTGTCCGTGCTGAACAAGGAGAAAGGCAGCACGGCCCTGGGCGTCCTCCGAAGACTGGGGTTCGTGGGCGTGTGGAAAGGCCTTTTTGCGCGCATCCTCATGATCGGCACCCTCACGGCCCTGCAGTGGTTCATCTACGACCTGGTCAAGGTGTATCTCAAGCTGCCTCGCCCTCCCGTGGCACAAGCGCCCGAACCCCTGAAGAAGAAAAAGTAGGCATGGAGTTGCGAGCCGTTGTAGACACAGTGGGTCCAGATTTCCATCAAGTAGGGAATCAGATGCACATAGCGCTAGTGTGTAAGATGTTAACATTTTGGGGAGAAGTTACTTAATATGCAGTCTGAGTTCTCTTTAAATGACTGATGGCTTCTTTATGGCAATTCCAGAGGATTGCAAACATTTCGTTTGGGGGTTTGAACCATTATCTTTCGGGAGTTGGCATGGTTGCTTTAACTCAATAGCTCTTCAGCAATTAAAAGGAAAAAATTCTTAACAGAAAGTAATGTTAGGTAGTTTAGGGTCTCTAGGTGTTATCTCCTTTGATTCGCCCTTTCTGTAGAGATTATCCAAGCCTAACTACTGAATAGCCTACAAATGAGGTTTTAAGGTCAGCACAACTATATGGATGGGGAACAAAGTGAGATTCCGGTACATGGTGTTCATCTCAATAGAAATCCGGCACCTATTGAATAGATGAAGGACTTACCGCGTATTTCCTGTTCATGTCCATTACAGGTAAAAATTATTAAAAGTTAAATTGTGACTTATACTGCCTGGTAGCTTAGAATGTATTCGCTGTTTTCAAAGAGACATGAGAAGATCTGCATTTTCTCCTTTTGCTTTGTCCCTTCTCTTCCTGATGTTGCTGATTAGAACATAGCTCTCTCCAGGAAGTGCTACAATTGGATCAATGTGGAAAGCCAGAAAGAGATGAAGGGCAGGCCCTGGGAATAAATATGTAAAGAAAAGCCTCTGTTCTCCAAAGATTTCTTTTGTATAACTCAGCTTTCAACAGCCATACATCCAAAGAAGACCATACCACCCTGACATTAAAAAAAAAAAAAAAAAAAAAAGTGAAGAAAAAACCCCAAACCCTGCAAATTCCAACTACTGTCTGTTGAATATTAAAGAATGGTTTTGGTGACTTTGGAGGGAAAATCTCTCGTTAAGTATAGTAAATGCTCTTCACTTAATTGGGTAGATGTTTCAGTGATATTTAAAATGGTTGAGATTCACAAAATTTATTGAAATTATAAAGCATGTTTTTGGGTCTCTGTGACCTTCACATCTCTGATTGGGGAAATTTTACAAGCAGTGAAATTCTGTGGGTTAGAGATGTTTGTAAAATGTGTATTAAGAAACAAAGTTCAATAAGGCATTTGATATAACTTAGCAAAATGTAACATGATTGCCTTAAAAACTTATTTAGGCTACAAACTTAGAATATGTTAATGTTTAAACTTTGTAATAGTAAACTGTTTCACAGTTAACAGAAGTTTAAAAGTGTGTAGATTTAAGTATGTCTGAACTGTCTTGGTTGAATAATAAAGAGATGAAGGAAAAAGTCAACTTTTGAATGAGATGGAATGAAATTTATTCATATTTAATGCTTCTATTTATCATATTATTGGGAGGAATCATTATCTATTGTTAAGACACCTCAATTTTCCTTAGGAGGTTAGTGTCCAAGTTTGTTGAAAAGGAGTTATCAGTAAAGGAGAATGATAAATTTAATGCAGATTCATTTTTGTAAAATTTTTAAGCAAATACATTTCAGTCTATTGTAAAATGTAGGAAGTACTTAAACAATTTTTATGTACTTTTAGTAACATAATTTTGGAAATTGCTGCAAAATCTGTGGCTTTCAAGATAGTAAGAGACCACTTGTTCTGGTCTGTGGTATTTCATGATTGCTCTAATGATAATACCAGATAATTTTTGTAACATATATGGTGTATGGGTTTATTGGCCAGGCAGGTGGCTCACATCTGTAATCTTAACAGCTTAGGAGGCCAAGGAGGGAGAATCGCTTGAGGCCAGGAGTTCAAGACCAACCTGGGCAACATAGTGAGACTCCCTAGCTACTTGGGAGACTGAGATGGGAAGATCACTTGAGACCAGGAGTTTGAGATTACAGGAGTTTGAGGCTATGATCATGCCACTGCACTCCAGCTTGGGTGAAGAGCAAAAGAATTTATTTAGTTTGGGCAGCAGTTTTCATATTCAGTTCCTGGACATTCTATTCCCCCTCCTCTTTTTTTTTTTTTTTTTTTTTGGTGGCTTACACATGTCTGAATAAATAGGGAGGGATCGCTGACAATAGATAATAGAGAGTAAAGGTAATTTAAAGATAACAAGAATTCAGAATCATTAAGGTTTTTCCTAGCTATTATTTCCTTGGAACAATTTAAATTTTTATTCAATGTTTTACCGTGACTGTGTAGAAAACCAGAATATGCTGCCCCAAAGTAGGAAGGATTGTTGAGCACAACCAAAGCAGCAAATGCTGGAAAGCTCTCTGTCCTCCCCCTGTTTGCCAAAGAGCAGGACATACATTTACAATGACAAAAAGTACCTTGCCTGCCTACCTACCAGACAGAACAAAGATTAACCACTGAAAACAACTTTACATTCTTAATAGGCATAGAGATGATACTAGAGGAATCTGTATCAACAAGCTTTTACTAGCTAGCCTTTATGTGCAATTTATTGCCTTCCCCCAAGATGCTGTCCCTAAAGGCTCAAAAGTGCTTTCCTAAATTTTCTCTAAATAAATATTTGCTGGGTTTTCTTTGAGACAGGGTCTCTGTTGCCCAGGCTGGAGTGCAGTGGTGTGATCGCAGCTCACTGCAGCCTTGACTTCCCTGGGCTCAGGTGATTGAGCCTGAGCCCACCTCAGCCTCAGCCTCCTGAATAACTGGGATTACAAGCACACACCATCATGCACAGCTAGTGTGTGTGTGTGTGTGTGTGTGTGTGTGTGTGTGTTGGTGGAGACAGGGTTTTTCTATGTTCCCCAGGCATATACCAACATGCCCAGCTAGTTGTGTGTGTGTGTGTGTGTGTGTGTGTGTCTGTGTCTGTGTGTCTGTGTGTCTGTGTGTCTGTGTGTGTCTGTGTGTCTGTGTGTGTGTTGGTGGAGACAGGGTTTTTCTATGTTCCCCAGGCATATACCAACATGCCCAGCTAGTTGTATGTGTGTGTGTGTGTGTGTGTGTGTGTCTGTGTCTGTGTGTCTGTGTGTCTGTGTGTCTGTGTGTGTCTGTGTGTCTGTGTGTGTGTTGGTGGAGACAGGGTTTTTCTATGTTCCCCAGGCTAGTCTGGAACTCCTGGGCTCAAGTGATTTACCCACCTTGGCCTCCCAAAGTGCTGGGATTACAGACGTGAGCCACCATGCCTGTCCCACTGTTCTTTGTTGAAGATGATATATAAACTGAAATTCAAAGCTACCTCTTTGAAAACTACTCATTCTCAGTATCTCATGTATATGTGAAATAATAAGCTTCTCTTTTTCTCTTAATTTGTCTATTGCAACAAGTTAACTCCAACTAAGAACCTATGGGAGTTATTCTTCCCTTATATCTATAATTAACATTTTCTGTGAAATCGTGCATAGCTTATTCGAATAATAAAAGCCATGGCATACATCTGGTATTGTTAGGCATTTTATATTTATTTTCTCATATAATCACAATTCTTGCTTCTATATAAAACTAAGACTCAGATGCTAGATAACTTGCTCAAAGTAATGTAGCTAATGAGTGATATACTGTAAATCAAAGTCCACATGTTCGTTGTTACTCCAGCTTAGCACCTTGATATAACCAATGGCTATCATTTTCTTGAACTGTTTTTTATAGTACCTTAAAATTATTTCTTAAAAAAATTTCAGGCAGGGGGAAGTGGTGCAAGCTTGTAATCCTGCACTTTGTGAGCCTGAAAAAAAAAAAAAAACAAAAAAAACCTACGTGTACATACGATAAAGCTTTCCTCATTTTGTAACAATGAGTTTGCCATGTGTCTTACTTGTGGAAAATCTATGGCAAAATTGTCTAGAAATTAACTGTAAAATAGCCAATATTCAATTTAATATTTAAGTCATTTGCTCCCAGCTCAGTGCCTCAGTTCTAATTTGAGGGGACTGATCATAAATGCAGCACTTTTGCGTGCGTGCGTGTGTGTGTTGTGTGTGGTATTGCAGTTTCAGCAAAAGGCTTTATCACAATTTTTTTCTCTAATCTTAGTTCCTACAGCTAAGGAAACTATATCAGGCTATTTATCTTTTCCCCCAGGTGGTGATTAAAGTAGCTTTCTCAAGTATATGAAATTAATTTCATGATAGCTGTAATCTCATCCATTGATCTGTCCTTTGAGAAGTGAATAAAGGAAGTAGGTAAAAAGCTTAAAAAACAAAGGTCATATTTACATGTTAATATCACATGATAAAGATGAGAAGGAATCAAAGTGTTAATATTATGAGTACTTTTTCTTGCTGCACAAGTCTTTAGAAAGTCTTTCTTTTGAGCCTTTGGAAGGCAAAAGAATAAGGCAAAAATAATCACTGAAGTCAGATCACATTTTGATAGGCACCCATTCAATTACAGTTTGCTTTCTTTTTGTGGTCTTGAAGATCAGTTATTTTTTAAATCATGAGCAAAGAACCATTTGAAAGGAAATTTAAATTTTATTATCACTTAGGAGACTGTCTTGGTTTCCTGAATTATTCTACTGTTTGGGTGGGTGGGTGAATAGGGTAGGTATTAACGATGTGATTGTAACTACACCTGTGTGTGTGTGTGTGTGTGTGTGTCAGTTAGTATATTTTGAGAGTTTCAGCCAAAATTTCAGCAACATTGTTGTAATTCTGCCCATGCCCAAGTCTAAAACACTACCAACCAATATCCACCATGTGCCATGTGCTGTGCTAGGCAGAAAGGTTTTGTGATGAGCATAATACATGGACCCTTCCCTTGGAGATCTTACAGTCTGATGGGGAGAATAAATTATGTAGGGGCAAAGGGGAAAACTTCTCATTCACCCTCTGAAGTTTCACTGAAAGATGAACTCATAAAAGGCAGATTACTAAGAGAAAAGGCATTCAATTTATTAAGGTGTATATAGAGTGTGTCAGAATGATGACCCAGTACTCCAGTGGTGTGCAGAAGCTTTTATACCATCTTGAGGTTACAGAAAGAATGGGGCCCTGGATTGTGGCAAATCAGGCTATGGCGGCATACACACACAAACACACACAAAGCTATGGGAGGGGGAGAAGAGAAGGTCTGACTAGCAAAGGTGGTCTTGTTATGTAGGTGAAATTCTGCAGGTAGTAGCCCTCAGAGAGAATAGATGGTGTTTCTTTCAGACCTTTAAAGGTGTCAGACTCTCAGTTAATCTTTCTTAGATCCAGACAAAGGAAAGCCTGGCTGCATCAATGCAAATTCTCTACAGATGTAAATCTCCGCCACAAAAGACAGCTTTGCATGCCTACTTCTGTTTGCTGGCTCTCTGACAGCTATCTCAAAATATGTCAAGGAAATATATTTTGGGGTAAAATATTTTTATTTCCTTCAGTCCCCACTTTGAAACTTTAAAAGGTTTCACATATCAAAAGCCAAGCCAATAGCTTTGGAGAGATTTGGCTTAGAAGTTGTTAGATACAGATGTACAAAGGAGTGGAAAAACAAATTAGGATAAACAGAAAAGAGTACATTTAAGTGTATGGTTCTATATTTTCTTGGATCAGTCTCAGCCCTGAGAATAGATGAGTTTGGTTAAACAGCTGTGACCTATTCCAGGAGGTGTCACTGCAGACTGGCTCTCTCTATATGATGCTGGCAAATAGATCTTTAATAAGAGGCATTTCTATAGAAACAGAAGAAAAACCAAAGTTAATGCCTAGAGTAGTCTATAGACAAGCTTTCCTAGCGTCTCTGTAGCACCTTCAGATTGCAGTGGCAACTTCAGACTATAGTTCGAATCAGGTGTTTAAATGAACTTTTTCAGTAGGCCATACTTCAGCAAGCATGAAAGCTGTTTATATGTAAGTTGCTGAAGTTTGTTTAAGTTGTCTAGCTTCAGTTTGCTGGGCTTTAAGGAAAGCGCAGTTTTAATTATTTCTAATGATTCCAAGTCAGAAAAATTTGAAAATATTAGTTTGGAGACATATAGCCAGACAGGAATTCAGAATTGAGTCCAAATTATAGGAAAATAACAAAAACTCAAAAACAGGGGACAAGGCTAGAACCTAGTAATATGTGTCCTGGGATTTTTCTTTTGAAACATAATTTTTCTCTTTCCAGTCCCCTACTTTCATCAAAGACAAATCATACTAAGACAAATTTATTTGCAAAATAAGTTTTAGTCTTGGCCAGGCGCAGTGGCTCATGCCTGTAGTCCCAGCACTTTGGGAGGCGGGGGCAGGTGGATCACGAGGTCAGGAGATCGAGACCATCCTTAGCCAACATGGTGAAACATCCTGCATCTACTAAAATACTAAAAATTAGCCGGGCATGGTGGTGCGTGCCTATAGTCCCAGCTACTCAGAGGGCTGA